GTGTGCATGTGTGTGTGTGTGTGTGTGTGTGTGTGTGTGTGTGTGTGTGTGTGTGTGTGTGTGTGTCTTCCTGCTGCTCGGTGTCCGCTCACCGTCCGTCTCCTCAGTGTTGATCGGCTCGCCATGGCGGAAGGACGCAGAGAACAGCCGCCTCATCCCCTCTTCTCTATACCACCGGCCAGCAAGCGACCCTGCCTGCGCCCTGCACCGCGGGGTCCCGGGCCGGGGCCTGGCCACGGCATGCCCAGCTCCCGGTATCGTTCCCCAGAGTCCCTGCTGGACTGCGCCGCCAAGGCAGTAGCGGAGAAGTGGGCCTTCGAGAGAGTTGAAGAGCGCTTCGAGCGGATCCCAGAGCCCGTCCAGCGCCGCATCGTCTACTGGTCTTTCCCCCGCAACGAAAAGGAGATATGCATGTACTCGTCGTTTCAGTGCCGAGTCGCCGGCGAGGAGGGTCCGGTGGCGGCTACCGGCGGCGCTGGGAGCGCCGGCTCCGGAGCAACTACCGCCGCTGCTGGTGGAGGATCCACCGCCGGTACGACAGCTACCGCGGGGGCAGCCGGAGCGGTGGGAACCGGAGACGGACTGCCTTTTCGCCGCGGTATCCGGCTGCTGGAGACCGGCTGTGTGGAAAACGTTTTACAAGTCGGTAAGTGGAACATTATACTGTAAAAGAAGCGACGCGGTGGGGTTTGTCGGCTCAAACACCACGGACCGTCCCCGGGTGTCACCACCGGGGCTGCTGGATCTATTCGGGCGATGATTGATGGAAGTTTTCCCTGCTATCGTGGAAAGTGTGTAAAACGTCGGTTTTCGGCGCAAATGAAGCTGCACTTGCTTCTCTGTCCCTTTTGTTATTTCAGTTTAACTTCAGAGGAGACATTTGTTGTCGAATTACGAGTTTGGTTTTTCTTTCCCACCCCGGGTCCGGGTGAAACGGGAAGCGGAGATGAGGTTGCCTGTTAGCTTAGCCGCGACCAGATGCTGTTTAAAAATTAAAGGGCTTCTTCCCATTGTGGCTCCGGAGCTCAGCCGCTGGCTCCTGCGTCTCTCCCCGGTGTTACCTTCAGTTTACTCGCTGTATAATTTGGGCTTTGTTTTTTTGTTTTAAATACAAGAAGCCGTGTTTCGCGCACTACCAGCCCCGTTCCTCCGGAGCTCCTTGGCCGGGGCTGGCTGGAGCTGTGCGCCCGGCGGAGGAGGAGGAGGTGGGCTGTGACAGACGCGGATACAAAAGAGCCAGCGTTGTAGCGTCCGGACTTTATTTGTGTTTATGCGGAGAAAAAGTCGTTTATTCTCGGCTCACAGTCGGTTGGCGGTGGCTTAAGCAGGAGACAAAGGCGGTTATTGGGTCTCTTATTATGATTAATCCAGCGTTAATCCGAGAGAGAAATCCCCCACAGTTTTGTTTATTCGCTGCTCGGACCGGACAAAGAGCGCAGGTCCTACAGACACACATCGGGACTGTTTAATGTTGGGTTATTTTTTAAAGTGAATCACATATAAACTGTGTATAAATCCGGTGTGGCTGCGCTTGTCCGCAGCCTCTCAGCACAAAAGGCTTCCAGTTGAAAATGATCGATAAGCGTCTCGCATTTCCAGAGCTGCAGAGACAGAGAGAGAGAGAGAGAGAGAGGCTGTTTCCAAACAAAGGGCCATTCCGCAAAGCTCCCTCTGCCATTCACTCTCATTAGCTTCATCCCCTGCGCTCCTCACGCTCACCAAACGAGCCCAGACACCAGGGAAATTGATGAGATGAAACCGATGGATAGTTTAAAAGAAGAAAAAAAACTGCCTTTTATGGTCACTGGCTGTATTTTTTCTGCGGCCATATGGTGCGAGAGCCACTGGAGCTTGTCTGGGGGGTTTCATGTTGCTCCAGTGTAGAAGACACAAGGGGGGTCGACTGCTGCTGCTTTGACTGCTCTATGTAATTGCATCTCATAAATGCTCATCGATTCCTCCCCCATGTACCTCGATGAAATGTGAGACGTGTGAATATGAAAGTGGGATCTGTTGATAAAGTTTTTTTTTTTTATTTGATGTTGTGGTTTGCAAGGAGAAGAAGTTTTAAAAGTCAAACATGCTTTGGTTGTTTTGTGTGGATTGCCTCAAGGTCTTTGCACAGTATGCAAAGGGTTGACAAGAAATGGAGGTTGGGTGTTAATCAATAAGCAGATTGTTTTCGGGAGTGAAATATATTATATGAGTGATCTGATTAATTAATCGTGACCTATGGTGGCTGGCTCAGGTGCTCACTATAATCATCTGATCAGTCGGTAAAAAAAGTCTGAGCTATTCTATGAATGTATTGCTACTTACTAAAAGTTTCCCATATTGGTGATAAACTCCTGTAATGAAGTTTGGAAGCAAGAACGGTAGCTTTTTGAACTCAAGACAGAATTATACACCCCAGAATATTTCCCTTTTCATCATTACATGAGACTTATGTTGTTTGGCTGTTGGGAGGTTGTAAATACAACCACTTCTGGAGAGATCTGGAAAGAGACAGTTTGAGTCTGCAGGGAGGGAGTTGGTATGCAAGAACAAGTAGTTTCTAAAGTCAAATATGCCTTGACTGTTTTGTTTCCTGTCCATTGCCACAAGGCCTCACATTTGCACAGTATGCAAAGGGTTGAGGGAAGGGTGCTTGCAGAAGTCAACAGAGGTGAATTTCTTCCACCACTTCTACAGAAACATATAAACTTAATGCTCCCAGGTGGAATCAGATTAGTAGATCCAGGGAATTAATTTGTTAATGCTGCTGTGTGCATCTACAGAGCTCCATTTAGAAATAGCGGTGAAGTCAGCAGAACTGCCACTTGGTGATTTTGGATGCCATATCCAGTGGTTTCAGTTAAAATTTAAATGGTATGGAAATTTAAAAAAAACATACATTTGTGAGCAAACTCCAGCGAACCCCCCAAGGTCACTCATAGCCGGCAGGGCACATGGTCCTGCTTATCTGTCAACAAAACACAAGAGGGGCCACATAGCTGTGTGACACCAGGATAAGATTGGGTTTGTTCTTCACTTTGTGGACCATGGGAACCAGTTTACTTTGTCAGGTTTACTGACTGGCTTATCAGAACAATTGTTTTTTTTCCTTTCTTTCATTCGTTCGTTCTTTCTTTTCAGAGCTGGCTTAAGATAGGTTGATCAACCATGCACGGCGCTTATACACAATGCGCTCATTACGGATCGTGTTCCACACCTGTAAATTACAGTCTTAAGACTGCTTTCACCTGACATGGCACAATATAATCACCACTTAAAATAGTGGCAGTGCTTGTTCTTAAGAAAGGGGGATGGAGGTGCCTCATGTACTCTGTAATAGGAACTTGCCAAGGAGCGATTAGGAATGAGACCGTGCTGCGTGCTGACACATGCATGTTGATGCATGGTTTGAAATATGGCATCTCTGAGTCGCAGGCTGAAAATCTGGTGTTAAACCTTTGAACCTTGTGGTGTGCATCGTTATTAAGTTAGACCTGCAAAGAGCTTTTCTTTTGAGTCACTTTTGAGAAAATATAATTTTCTAAATAAATCGATCTATGTCTAATCCCTGTCCATACTAGCAAGCCAAACAGAGATCAACTAACCAATCGCACACACTGGGCATGTGCATGCTATTGTACACTGTCTACAACAGTGTTATTGTAGAATTGTCCCAGATTACTTAATTAATAGCACTTGTCCAACACACGAGAGCAGTTGTAACATCATAAAATACAGAATTTAACCGCATAACAGTTTGTAATTGATTATCCAGGTTGCGTTCTCTTTTGGAAGGAGCAGCACAGGCTATGCCATGATTGAAAAGACCCAATCAACGAGCCGTTGTCAGTGTCATCGTTTCCAAACATCTTTAATTAGCTCTAAACCTCCAGAGTAGTGTGGATGCATGGTGTATAGCAGAGCTGATGCATTTAATGCTACAACTATAATGGTAGTTTTGTGGACAGTGTCAAGTTGAGATGTGTCGGCTTGAGTTGTTATCCAGCTCTGTATTGTGTTTGTGACTTTTAAGGAAGTTAAAACCACAATTTCCCACTGGTATTTGTAAGGTTAACAAATAGCTACGGTTGTCGGGCACATCTGACTTAATGAGAATTGAGAAATCAAAATTACACAACCGTGATGCAAGAAAGAGCCAGAAACACTGAAGACACTCAAGCGATAAGATCACGAGCTAGACTATCATAAGATGTCATTTTTTTATTATTCCTCACAGCTATCACAAGCCCAGCAGGCGCTCCTGTTCCTGTAAAACTCCTCTTTAGACTTGTTTTTGTCCCACTTTGTCGGTAAGGCCTAGAGGCTGATCTGGAATTGCTCTTGTTTTTTCAGGTAATTACTAATGGGATCTGGTGGTGGTGGTGATGGGGGGAGTCTGTGATCTGCTTTTCTACTCTGCAGCACTCTGTGAATTCAGTGTCCGGGTCACGGAAAGTTTAAGACCCGACTATAGGGTGTGTGGAAGGAGGAGGACAACGGTTGCCTGCTGGAAACACAATGGTGGAAAAAGGTTTAAGCAAGACAAAATAAATTGTAGCGATGCTAGGTTATATCATATGTTCAGGAAAAAATGGAATGGACACAAGATAAGATCTCTTCTTGCTTTTTGCAATTGGGTTATAATGAGATGATTTATGAGAAGATAGTAATTTTATTACAAATGTAGAATATTTACCATTGAGGGCATCTGTGTGTGTTAACAGTTACAAAATGAAAAGGGGACGTGTTGTCCCTCAGACGGCCTCCAGCCCCGTACATTACCAGTAAAGGCCCCTCGTAACGGTAACAGAGGAACTGAAGGGACGTGAGCTCATCAACAACTAGTCTGTCCATGTGTTCATAATAATCTACTCCTCGCTCCGAGTCATAATTAGAATAATCAAAGCTAAGCGTGCTTATATTTGTAACCCCCCCCCACCCATCTTGTACACACCACATACACACACACACACACGTGTGCCCACTTTGCCAGAGCCTTATGAAGTCCTCAGAGAGCGGGAGGAAGGGATATAAGAGGAGGGAGGGAAGAGGGGTGGTGGTGGGGTTCTTTAGCTTTGAGTCAAGCTTTGGGATTATTGGGTCATGCTTTGTTACCCAGCTGTAGAAAACCCCCTTGTTCACAGAAAGAGGTGTGTGTGTGTGTGTGTGTGGGAGGGATCTGCGCGTATGTGTGTGCACGTCCTTCATCTCCACGACGTTACATAAAGCTGTAATGGGTCCCCGACGTCTCTTGAAGCACCAGTGACAAAGCGAAGCAGCAAAGTTGAACGGGATTAAACTGTATGGGAGAGTCGGGCAGTGGGCGGAAAACACACACTCCTGTGATGCTTCTCTCATTGCAAACGTCTCAGGTTCTGGAATTAGTCCTTTAGTCAGAGGCACTTCTCGGCACTGCTGGAAATATGTCTTTGTTTTGTCTGATAATTGTGTGTGTGTCTGGAGGCGTTGGTGACTGGTCTCACTAGGGTATCCTCAAATGTGATTTCCCGTATAAGAATGGCTGGGGGGGTTCCATGTTGTTACCATCAGTTGCTCAAATGTGACTGATGAGTGGATTCACCTCCCAGTTTTTCTTCTCTCAGGGCAGAGTGCGCTTACACCGCTCAGTTCTCATCTCTTGACGCTCTCCTG